GTCTTATGAAGACCCTGCACGACTGTGCCAAACCTTGCACATCCGTGCAGGGGAGTTCAGAAGCTGAAGATCATTCTGCCCAGCTAGGTTTGCACGTCCGTGCAGATGACGTCTCCCCAAGGTAGTAGCTACTACCTCTTTTTTTTAGCATTCTGCACGATCGTGCACTCTTTGGCACGTCTGTGCAGGGGCTGCACGTTCGTGCCAGACATTGGCACGTCCGTGCAGCCCTGTAATCGATTCCGATTCTTGTTTTCTCCGTTCTTTTTGTTTGGGGGTCATATAAATACTTTCTTTAGCCTATTTTGTAAAAATCTTCATCTTCTCTCTTAACTCCCTTAGGCTTATTCTCTTAATTAGTGCATAGTATTCCTCTCCACCCTTAGTTTATATTTTCAAAAACTCAATCATTTGTACAAGAATCAATTGAAGTTTGTTCTATCAATTTATACAATCTCTCTAACCTCTAATCATCAATTTTAGAAATCTCTTTCCTCTTTCTCTCTTGTTATTTTTCTAATTTTATATGCTTTTAATCTTACTTTATCTCTAATCCTTGCTAATTGTTCTTGCATGTTCAATACATCTTGATTTCATCTCTCCAATAGTTTAATTGAATAAATGATAGCTTTGGAATCAATTGTTAGAATGCTTTCCACCATGTTTAGTGGGTAGTTAGTTAGGGGTTGGGTGAAAATCCAACCAAGCCATGGATTGATTGAATTAAATATCTTCATGTTCTATTCTGGGTTGATGTTATTTGTACTTGAATCGATTGATTGCATGTGTATTTTGGTGGCCATTTTTATAATTATCATGTGTTCATGATCCGAAAGATTCTAGATCATGCATAAATATTCCATCAAAAAAATGGGCCTATAAAATTTGAGTCACGCACAACAATATATTTGAAGGGATAAGTTTTTTTTTTTATTATTATTTTTTTACTTTTTAAATCTCATTAGTTTTCAAACAAGGTCTTATTTGACATTACATAATATCCTATAATTTGATCGAATCTAATGACATCTGATATAAAGGGGATTTGATCTAAGGACTTTGGCACCCCAATACTTAGGTATTACCCTAGGAGCTTAACCATCTAGCTAGTTGACATATACATGATATATAACGTCAAATTATATGTATGTAGCACTAGCTATAAGCGAAGCCTAGCTATAATGTAGCAACTTCACCTCCACATCATTTAAAGGGCCATAAAATAAATTATGATTAAAGTCCGTCTACATCATTTTCTCTATGTGGCACACCCGCTCTAAGCTTATAGAAATAATGAAATTAGGGTGGGCTAATTAAACTAATTAAAAATTGAATTCAATCCGTGATAAACCTAATTCTTGGGCAGGGCGGGTCAGGGTCGCTGCGAGCCTAGTCAATAAGAAGGACACATTTTATTGGGCTATGAGCGGGTTAGGCCAATGCAGGTTGCAACCCAATCGCGGATCGATAATGAACGGGCCAATAAACGATCAAGCAAAAAGAATAAATGGCAGAGAGTGAGGGATAGCTCAAGTGGTTAGAGCTTTCCTCCCGGTTCCAGAAGATCCTGAGATCGATTCTCACCCCCGCCCTTGTGGATGTCTAAACACACAAAAATTTTCAAAAAAAAAAAAAATGGCAAAGCCAACATTACATGCACATGAATGTGCAAATATCTATATAACTTATTTTACATTATTTATTTTCTTTTCCTTATTAAATTTGAGCAAATATTTTGGCCCGAAATTAAATTATTGATCCTACATTCCTACCCAATATAGACCATGTCCATTAAGGACCTATTAACCTTTGTACTAACTCTATACTCATTGGGCAAGTACCCGTCCAATACCCAGGTCTAGTCCATTTATTAATGGCTAAACATAGCTCAACTTATCTTGCATTTAAATTGCTAATTATAGTGCAAATTGAAATTTATATTTCATAGTTTATCATACTAGCTAGTTTCTACGTTTCTTCCTCCTAATTACTCATCCATCATCTTAAAAGCAACCGCATGCTTATTTAATGCAACTCTACATATAAACTATGAAATGTCAAATGAATTAGTATTATTAATCACTTTCATTCTGAGTTTAGACGCCACATTTTCATACTATTTCAGTATTATTTCTTCTAATTTATACTATTTCATTATTGTCGTTCCTTTTGAATCTTATGATATGCTATAAAATGGAAATTAAACTACGTAGTAATTTTTTTTTTTATTAGTTTACAATTGGTGGTAGCCTGGTAGGTATTCCAGGACAATATTGGATTAAACATCAGATCAATTAAATGGAAATGAGTTGTTAATAAATGTTAGAAGAAATATTGGTTTTTTTTTTTTTTTTTTTTTTTGACAACTGAAGAAATATTGTTAATAAATATATTGCTAATAAACAATATTGTAAATAAACTAATAAATGTAGAAGAAATATTGTTAATAAACATATTGGACTAAACAATATTTCTAATGAGTTGTTAATAAACATCAGAGCAGTATAAATTAGAAGAAATAGTATAAAAATGTACTGTCTAAGCTCAGAATGAAAGTGATTAATAATACTAATACATTTAACATTTCGTAGTTTATATGTAGAGTTGCATTATATAAGCATGCGGTGGCTTTTAAGATTATGGATGAGTAACTAGGAGGAAGAGACGTAGAAACTAGCATGATAAACTATGAAATATAATTTTTCAATTTGTACTATAATTAGCAATTTAAATGCATGTTGATTTGAACTATGTTTAGCAATTAGTATAATCCATGTGTTTCATTATATATAGTTATCTGCTCAGTCAAACATGACGACTGTTATATATGGATTCGGGCTACACCCATCATGGCCATCAACAATTGGTGAAAAAATTCTCCTAAAAAAGGAAGTTGTTAGAGGTAGACTTAGTATTTATACAAATTTTAGATAGACCTGATTCACATTAATTAATTTATTGTGAACTATTTTTATTAGGGACCAATTTATCCCTGACCGACCGAGTAACCCCTTATTGACCGAGTAACCCCTGATCAAGTAACCCCTGAATAAGTAACCCTGGCCGCACATAAATATCGATGTATTAGTAAAATTTCTATACAGAATTTTTACTGATAATAAATTATAGATTCTTCTTTTTTTTTAATGAAAGAATTATGTACGTTTTATTGATGAAACTAATTAAATTCTTTGATATAAACTGAAGAGATGAAAATAATATTTTCTGGATAAAAAAATTCTCTATCCGATCCTTTATGTTTTTTCCAGTTGAAATTTTTCAGAAAAATAAAAAGGACCAAAGGAAATTATTATTAAGAATATCAAAAAGTTGTTCAACTCTCAAGTCTATATCAAAGAATCTAATACTTCAAAAAAAAAGAGGAAATTTTCACTTTTGCTACCAGCAAAACACATGTATTTCACTTTTGCTACCGGAGAAAATTTTATTTTCATTTTACTACCATACAAAAACAAGTTTGTTAAAAATTGCTACCACTTAACACTTTTAGTTACTATTTCCGTTAGTGAGATCTAACAACCCTCACTGCCAGCTCTCCCTCCTCAGACACCCTCACTACCTCCCCGTCAGCCACCTTGACCCACCATAAAAAAATACAAAATAAAAACACCCAGCCACCATCACTACCCAGCAACCCCCTACCGGAGACCGGCGCCCAAAGCGTCGCTCGGCACCGGCGACCCACCACTAGGTGGCTAGGTGAGTTGTCGTGCTAACACTGGTGGTTCTGTTTTTTGGTTGTTCTGTATACAACATTACAGTAGCTTTCAGCTTACCTAAATTTGAAGGCAGGGTTGCTATACTAATGACAATAGTACTCCCTCGGTTCGAAAATAATAGTGATGTACACTATGTTGGCTGTTTAGAAATTAGAATTTTAGGGTAGGTTGTGTCGCACTTCCCTCGGTAGTTTTGTATGTTGGTTTGTTTGTTTGTAGCTCAATTCTATATTCCAAGCTATGTCCAGTGTGAAGATTGAGAGATGTAGGTTTGTACCTTTGTTAATAATGGTTTGTTTTTACATACTTTATGGTAAATTGTTTGAGCTTCATTTGAAATTGTTGTTAAAGATCGCGAAATTGCCATCTACAATTCTTGTTTAATGCTGGTTATCTATGATGTGTAATCACTTACCATTTTAGTTGGATTAATATGGGTAGAGCCCCAATCTTGGGTATGAAGTGTGTGTGATTTCAAATGTAAGAGTAAAAATTGATAAGAATCCCATAATTTTCCATCTTATAAACCCACATAATGAACTTGATAAAGATTTAAAACATATAATCAAGTATGACTTCCAAAATTATTAAATTTAATTACCTTTGACACAATAAAAGTCTATAAAATTCAAAACCAAAGTAATGACATATTATCACAATTTGCTGACATATTTACTACAGTATATATTTGAGGATTTGACAAGGTATGAAAATTTTCAGGGTTGCTTAAGAAGCTTCTTCTGGTCAGCGTTGTTGGCATGGGGTTATCAAGCTACTCGTCCACCTCCTCCCAAAATTCAGTACTTCTAGGTTTAATTTCAAAAATAAAAAAATAAAAATCTCAATTTTGCTAAACGAAACCCAATAGCCGTTTAATTCCAAGAGTTACCAAAGCATAAACTTCATCTTCCATGGCATCAAATACAAATTCCCAAACACAAAAGCAAAAACTTCAAATTTAATTCTCAAAAATGAAAATTCGTTGTTTACCTTGAAGAGAATTTCGAGCAATCAGCTCAAGGAAGGGACATGCAACAATGAAATTGGACCGTCTGTACCGCTTGACTGCCGCCACCACCGCTTGACTGTCGCTATCAGCCACCACCTTCGTCTTTTTCCTCTTCGAATTTTTGACTGATTTTTTTTCGTGATTTTCTGAGAATAGGTACTGTGAATTTCTGGAGTTGAATGTGAGATGATGGGGAAAATAGAGAATTGGGGGAAATTGAGAAAATGGAGATTGGGTGAGAAATTGAGAAAATGGAGTCTGTGAGAATGAGTGGAGAACGAAAATGGGTGAGAAAATTGGGGTAAACATACATCACGTGTGTTTGTTCAAAATTTTGGTGAAAAAATTAGAGGGAACAATAATGCGCGCTTTATATCTAACCTAAAATTTTCATTTGATACAATACCACCGTTGCAATAGCTTTTATTTTTGTTAAAATAGCTAGGCTATTGCAACGGTTCTTTAGAGCCGTGGCAATAGCTCTACCTCTAAGAACATTAGTTTTAACTCCGTAGCAATAGCCTACTCTATTGCAACGACAATAAAAATACCGTTGCAATAGGCTATCTATTGCCACGACATTTGGATAGGGCGTTGCAATAGCTCATTTTGGGGCGTTGTATTTGATCGAAAATGTAGTAGTGTAATTTGGTCCCTAATAATAGTAGTTCACAATAAATTAATTAATGTGAATCAGGTCTATTTAAAATTTGTATAAATACTAAGTCTACCTCTAACAACTTCCTTTTTTAGGAGAATTTTTTCACCAATTGTTGATGGCCATGATGGGTGTAGCCCGAATCCATATATAACAGTCGTCATGTTTGACTGAGCAGACAACTATATATAATGAAACACATGGATTATACTAATTGCTAAACATAGTTCAAATCAACATGCATTTAAATTGCTAATTATAGTACAAATTGAAAAATTATATTTCATAGTTTATCATGCTAGTTTCTACGTCTCTTCCTCCTAGTTACTCATCCATAATCTTAAAAGCCACCGCATGCTTATATAATGCAACTCTACATATAAACTACGAAATGTCAAATGTATTAGTATTATTAATCACTTTCATTCTGAGCTTAGACAATACATTTTTATACTATTTCTTCTAATTTATACTGCTCTGAAGTTTATTAACAACTCTGAAGACTCCACCTTGATAAAGATTTCGTATTCTATCTTATTTATGTGTGATGGAAGTCAAAGTTATGAATGGTTATAATATTATGTGATATGCATGATTATATTTGCTAATATATCTTGATAATAATTGGATGCTAGAATTTTAGTTCTATGTTATCTAATATATATATTTTGATTTTTATCTATCTAATATATACATTCTGATTTTTATCTTCTTAGATAATAATATTCTGATTTGTGATAAATTTAAGATATATTCTATTATCATATTTGTATTTATCTTATTAATTAAGTTAGATTATATTCTTAGTTATCTTATTAACAAGCTGTTTTTATAAATAGATATATATAATATTCTGTTGCTTACTAATGGAACTATGAGATGTTATTCTCCAAGTAAATAGGCTGAACATATTCAACTACTTGAAGTCAAAGTTTTGAAGCCTTCAAAGTAGCGGCAAGTTTTGAAGCCTTCAAAGTAGCGGCTATGCTGTTGAATTTAAAATTCAAACGGCTACAAGATTTCTTCATTGCTCCAGTAAATTATTGAAGCTTATAAATTGTGTGAAGCGGCTCAAGTGTTTTAAATATAAAAGATATACATACAGAGATATAAAGAGAGTCATAAAGCCTCATTCATTATTTATCAAATATTTTCTCTCTAAGAAATATATTACCTTTTTATGTAATTAAGTTTGAGAGAAAAATAAGAGTGTATCTCAGAGCGAAAAGAATCATATCAAGAGAGATATACTTAAAAGTATTTTTATAATACTTAAAGTATTTTTTGGGTAGTCTTTTTATTTCTAGGAATTGAGTGACTAAAGTGTAATCGGGTGATTGCGGTAAGAAGGGAAACGCTTCTAGCTACTTTAGTGCTCTAAGGGAAAGAAATAAAATAGATTGAAATCCTAAGGGTTAAACACCTCTAGACGGAGACGTAGGCATTCTTGCCGAACTTCGTTAACATATCGTGTGTCCTTTTAGTTCATTTCGTTTTTTATGTTACTGCATTTTCATTCGTTAATTCTTATCTCATTTCAAAGCCTTGAAACCTAGAAAGTGAAATCAGTTTATTCCGCCTTGAAACTGATTTCAAGACCTTGAAATTACAGCCTTTGCGAAAAACGTCCATACTCTATTCAACCCCCCTCCCTTCTAGAGTATTATTGATGTAATCCTATCACCTTATTGATCCTTCAATTGGTATCAGAGCTTCAGGATTTCACGTAAAGATTTAACAATCTGTGAAATGAATTCAAATGGTGATGGTGGTTTTGCTCAGGGACGATCTGCAAATCGTCCTCCATTGTTTTGTGGCAATAACTTTCCCCATTGGCGCTCATTGATGCAAATGTTCGTGATAGATCAAGATTTAGAGATTTGGGAAATCATTCAAAAAGGCCCAAAAGTTCCAACAAAGATTACAGAAAGTGGTATTACCATTCCAAAAGAAGATAGCGAATATACCCAAATTGATCTAGAAAAAGTTTCTAAAAATTATCGCGCCATGAACCTGCTTTATTGTGCTCTAGACGCAAATGAATTCAATCGAGTTTCTGCATGCAAAAGTGCAAAAGAAATCTGGGATAAACTGGTGGTAACTTACGAAGGAACCAGCCAGGTGAAGGAAACCAAAATTAGCATTTTCGTGCGTCAATATGAGCTGTTTAAAATGACGCAAAGTGAACAAGTCAAAGAAATGTTCACAAGGTTTACTCAAATCATAAATAACCTTGATTCACTCGGAAAAAACCTTTACTAATGAAGAAAAGGTTAGGAAGATTCTTCGATGTCTTCCAAAATCAAGATGGGGTCCTAAAGTGACGGCTATTGAAGAAGCTCAAGATCTGAGAACTCTGTCTCTGGACGATCTTCTTGGGAAATTGATTACCCATGAAATGTCCTTGAATGAAAGTGATGGAGAGCCACCCTCATCAACAAAAGGGCTAGCTCTCAAGGCTAAGAAAGAAGAATCCTTCACTGATAATGAAAAAAGTGATGGAGATGAAGAAGATCCATTTGATCAAATTGCTAGAAGTCTTCAAAGAATTCTAAAGATGAAAAAGAAGTTCCCCAGGGGCAATGATAATGGCAAACAACAAAGATATAAAGGCAAGCCATTTAACGAATTCAAGACCTTGAAATGCTACGAATGTGGAGATGATAATCACCTTGTGAAGGACTGTCCGAAAAGAAGAAAAAGGCAGTCAGGAAAAAGAGATTATAAGAAGAAAGTTATGGTTGTCTCATCAAGTGACTTAGATTCAAGTGATGAAGATAAATCTAACCTTTGTCTTGTGGCGGATCACGATGAACACCTCCAGGTAATCGTAAACAACTTAATCTCTAGTCCTACTAATGTTCTTTCTGATTTTTTACATAACATGATTATGAATGAAGAAAGCTTAATTCAAGAATCAAAAATTCTGAAAGAAAAGTTAAGCAAACAAACAAGCGTATCTGACAAACTGGCTAAGGAATTAGCTGATCTCAAAGCAGCCCAGTCCACTTTTGAAAACAAGGTCAAGGCCTCAGAGTCAGCTTTTGACACTAAGGTCAAGGCCTTGAAAACTGAAAATATTGTTTTAAAACGTAAACTTGCTTCTCAAAATTATTATATTAATAATCTTGAGAATGAAAAGAAAACGTTAACTGGGAAATACAAAGAGCAGCATAATGCCTTGGTTAGATTTACTAAGTCAAAAGAAACTCTTGATAAAATGTTGGGTGAACACCAATCATCCTTAAATAAAAGTGGTCTTGGATACAATAAAAATTTTCCTAAGAAAAACCCGACCACTTTTGTGAAAGCTAAGGATAATTGGAGAACTCCCACATGTTTTTACTGTTGCAGAAAGGGTCATACTAAGTTAACATGTCCTTTTAGAAGAAATGACCCTCATATTGTTAAGAATTCTTTTCCTGTTTATTTTCGAGACCAAGTCAAGCAAATATGGGTTGTTAAAGGAACCCGACCACCAAACATGGTCCATCCTGACTATGACTCCAAATTTGCAGGCTGGTCTAGAAAGGTTTAATGTTCTTTTCTTGTGCAGGAAAACTTCAAGAGTAAAGATAGCTTCAAAAGTAAAGGTTTGATGTTTTTATTATTAACTTGCTGAATTTTTATTTAAGTCATTAAGTGAAGATATATATATTCATTCTTATTCGGCTTAAATTGAGAATATTAAATAAGGATGCATCTTCATAGGGGGAGCTAAGGTATGTGCTTTAACGCTTTAATTTGTGCTGATTGTAAAACTGCAACTTAATTCAAGACCTTGACCTGCATGTCAAAGCCTTGAAATAAAACTGCGTATATTAAATAACTTTAAATATTTTAGTGTTTGTTCCAACATTTGTTTTCTTTCTTCTGGCTTTCTTGATGAAGTCAAAAAGGGGGAGAAATATATTTATGCTTATTATTGCTTATTATGCTTAGTATTGTGCTTATACTGAGTTATTATGCTTATTGATTTTGCCATACTTTTCTGCATATGCATATCGATTATTTACTATGTTGTTTTGAAATAGTCTATTTGAAATAGTCTTGAATTATTTTGTTCTACTCTAATCATAGGTTTTGACTTTCATCAAGGGGGAGATTGAAGACTCCACCTTGAACCGACTTGATAATGTTATATATTTAATGATGAAAGTCAATATGATATATCCTTTCTTTAATATATGATTAATATGATACTATTTCGGATATTATCAATAAGGTGATAGGATTACAGCAATAATATCCGAAATAGTATCATATTAATCATATATTAAAGAAAGGATATATCATATTGACTTTCATCATTAAATATATAACATTATCAAGTCGGTTCAAGGTGGAGTCTTCAAACTCATTAGAAATATTGTTTAGTCCAATATGTTTATTAACAATATTTCTTCTAACATTTATTAGTTTATTTACAATATTGTTTATTAGAAATATATTTATTAACAATATTTCTTCAGTTGTCAAAAAAAAAAACATATATTTCTTCTAACATTTATTAACAACTCATTTCCATTTAATTGATCTGATGTTTAATCCAATATTGTCCTGGAATACCTACCAGGCTACCACCAATTGTAAACTAATAAAAAAAAATTACTACATAGTTTAATTTCCATTTTATAGCATATCATAAAATTCAAAAGGAACGACAATAATGAAATAGTATAAATTAGAAGAAATAATACTGAAATAGTATGAAAATGTGGCGTCTAAACTCAGAATGAAAGTGATTAATAATACTAATTCATTTGACATTTCATAGTTTATATGTAGAGTTGCATTAAATAAGCATGCGGTTGCTTTTAAGATGATGGATGAGTAATTAGGAGGAAGAAACGTAGAAACTAGCTAGTATGATAAACTATGAAATATAAATTTCAATTTGCACTATAATTAGCAATTTAAATGCAAGATAAGTTGAGCTATGTTTAGCCATTAATAAATGGACTAGACCTGGGTATTGGACGGGTACTTGCCCAATGAGTATAGAGTTAGTACAAAGGTTAATAGGTCCTTAATGGACATGGTCTATATTGGGTAGGAATGTAGGATCAATAATTTAATTTCGGGCCAAAATATTTGCTCAAATTTAATAAGGAAAAGAAAATAAATAATGTAAAATAAGTTATATAGATATTTGCACATTCATGTGCATGTAATGTTGGCTTTGCCATTTTTTTTTTTTTTGAAAATTTTTGTGTGTTTAGACAGCCACAAGGGCGGGGGTGAGAATCGATCCCAAGATCTTCTGGAACCGGGAGGAAAGCTCTAACCACTTGAGCTATCCCTCACTCTCTGCCATTTATTCTTTTTGCTTGATCGTTTATTGGCCCGTTCATTATCGATCCGCGATTGGGTTGCAACCTGCATTGACCTAACCCGCTCATAGCCCAATAAAATGTGTCCTTTTGACTAGGCTCGCAGCGACCTTAACTGGTGGGCGCCCAAGAATTAGGTTTATCACGGATTGAATTCAATTTTTAATTAGTTTAATTAGCCCACCCTAATTTCATTATTTCTAAAAGCTTAGAGCGGGTGTGCCACATAGAGAAAATAAAGTAGACGGACTTTAATCATAATTTATTTTATGGCCCTTTAAATGATGTGGAGGTGAAGTTGCTACATTATAGCTAGGCTTCGCTTATAGCTAGTGCTACATACATATAATTTGACGTTATATATCATGTATATGTCAACTAGCTAGATGGTTAAGCTCCTAGGGTAATACCTAAGTATTGGGGTTCCAAAGTCCTTAGATCGAATCCCCTTTATATCAGATGCCATTAGATTCGATCAAATTACAGGATATTATGTAATGTCAAATAAGACCTTGTTTGAAAACTATGAGATTTACAAAAAAAAAAAAAAAAAAAAAAAAACCTATCCCTTCAAATTTATTGTTGTACGTGGCTCAAGTTTTATAGGCCCATTTTTTTGATGGAATATTTATGCATGATCTAGAATCTTTCGGATCATGAACACATGATGAATATAAAGTTGGCCACCAAAATACACATGCAATCAATCGACTCAAGTACAAATAACATCAACCCAAAGTAGAACATGAAGATATTTAATTCAATCAATCCATGACTTGGTTGGATTTTCACCCAACCCCTAACTAAGAAACTACCCACTAAACATGGTGGAAAGCATTCTAACAAATTAATTCCAAGCTATCATTTATTCAATTAAACTGTTGGAGTGATAAAATCAAGATGTATTGAACATGCAAGAACAATTAGCAAGGATTAGAGATAAAGTAAGATTAAAAGCATATAAAATTAGAAAAATAACAAGAGAGAAAGAGGAAAGAGATTTCTAAAATTGATGATTAGAGGTTAGAGAGATTGTTGAAATTGATAGAACAAACTTCAATTGATTCTTGTACAAATGATTGAGTTTTTGAAAATATAAACCGAGGGTGGAGAGGAATACTATGCACTAATTAAGAGAATAAGCCTAAGGGAGTTAAGAGAGAAGATGAAGATTTTTACAAAATAGGCTAAAGAAAGTATTTATATGACCCCCAAACTAAAAGAACGGAGAAAACAAGAATCGGAATCGACTACGTACAGGGCTGCAAGGACGTGCCAATGTCTGGCACGAACGTGAGCCCCTGCACAGACGTGCCAAAGAGTGCACGATCGTGCTGAATGCTAAAAAAAAGAGGTTGTAGCTACTGCCTTGGGGAGACGTCATCTGCACGGACATGCAAACCTAGCTGGGCAGAATGATCTTCAGCTTCTGAACTCCCCTGCACGGATGTGCAAGGTTTGGCATGGCCGTGCAAACCTGGGTAGAATGGTCTTCAGCTTCTAAACTCCCCTGCACGGATGTGAAAGGTTTGGCACAGCCGTGCAGGGTCTTCATAAGACCCTTTAACTTATCTCTTCAATCTTGCTTCCTCATTAGCAACCATAGCTTCATTTCTTCTTCTCATTGCTTCTAAAGTCTTTCCTCACTCATTGAAGTGTTTCAAAGTCTCTTCCTTGGACCTAAAATATCATAAAAACACACACAACCTCGTGAAGCACGTGATACATAAAAATGCATTAAAATAGAGCAATCTATACTTATATATTAAAAGCGTTCCTAAAAACGTTTATGTGTCACGTGGCACCCTCGCCATGTCATCTTTCAACTATGAGCATATACTTATATTGTTTGTTCATTCCTTTAGTGATGTGCATGAGAACATATTCTGTGTTATATTTCGCAAAGATAATCTAGTGACTTCTATTATTAGTTATATATCAATTAGATTAAATAGAGCTACTTTGTATAGTAGGAAAAACTAATTCAGTTATAATTACTATCATCAAACTTGTTAGTTCTTAATTTATCATACAAAGTAGAAACAATTGGTGACTTGTGATCCCTGTGCTTTAATTTAATAGATATGCTACATCTCGCACCAAAGTAAAGCTCTTACTGTCAGTAACTCAACGAGGTTTCTGTGATATTTCATCTTGTTGTAGTTTATGTACGTCGTAGAAGTTGAACA